AAATGAGGTGAAAATGCCCATCAACCTTTTTTTCTTTTAACCAATACAGATACCCCAACTCACTCTTGACTGCAGCATGATGCATTATTAGAGATAAATGATGCCTTGCAAGTTTTCTCTCCCAGAGAAAAACTTTGAATCGAAAAAAAAAATTTAATTTGAATCAATGAATTAGTTTTTAAAAGTTAAATTTTTAAAAATGAAATATTTTAATTTATATATTGAATTATTATATTTGTATTAATTTAGTATTGAAAAATAAATTTCTCAACTTTTATTCTCACTTTTTTTAGCTGAAAATAATTTCTCTAAGCCTAAAATAATTTTATTTTAAAACTTAAAGTAAAGATGATTAAGAGATTAAATTTAGAAAAATTATCTTTAACTTGCAATTAGAGTATCAATCAAAAAGTTCAATTAAACTCTATTTTAATTAAAAAATAATTCCTCAATGACCAAATAAAAATAAAAAGAAACTTTGAGTTATATTTTTTAATATGATCTACTTTTTTTTCCTTTTTGAACGAGTGGAGGTTTTATTTTTTGACCAACATACTTACCATAAATCACGTTTAGACCAACTACCAAGCGCTGCAATATATACTTAACACTTGTTTGAGAGGCAAAATATTAAAAAAATTAATGTAGAAAAAAGGACAAGCAATAAAAAATGAAACAAACACGAAATTAACCGTACCTTTAATTCGTTTTTCTGCATCATTGAACTTTATTCATTAATTAATGGAGTGTGACCAAATTTTTTTTAAAAAATAACTTTATTAATGGAAGGCACATGACTAGCTTCCCTTGTGAGTGAATAGTGGTATTTTGCGAATCTTCAGAGAGGATTATGAGTACCAAAAAAGCTTGCTTTCTGAATCAGATTGATGACAAATTTTACAACAAAGGCGACAGAAAATCAAGCCAAAAGCAATTCTCAAAAAGCAGCAGAGGCTAATACTAACAACCATAATCGTGCTTGGTGACACTACAATTGATTAATAAAAGATTATTTCAACTAAAATATTAATAAGTACACATATATATTGTGGAAATGCGATCTCTTTCACCCTTTTATTTTTATTAATATAGAAAATTTTTTTAAGTGAATTAAATCCCGATAAACTTATCAGAATCAGAATAGGTTTCATGACTTTTGAGTAAATGCAAAGATACTTGTATATATACTTCTTCGAGTTTTAAATGTATGAACTAGCTAGATAATTAATTTATATAAATCATATGTTGATTTTTGTAGAATTCTTATTTAATTATTTACATTGAAATTACCACATTTGATTAAAATCCTTTTTAATATGGGTACTTAATAAACATAATTTGAGAGAAATTATAAATTTGAGAGGTAAAATGAATTGAGATCTATATTTAAAACTAAAGTAATCTCTAACTAACTCATGTATTTATAGTTAGATAAAGTATTTACAAATCACTTACCAATAACTTCTTATATTAAGAGCAAGATTTAAAATGTCTATATGGTTAAATAGGGTATGAACCAAGTCTCATCTTTTAACTTGTGATCGCACTATTTTGGTTGGGAAATTATAGTGAAAAGTCCCTGTTTACAAATTATATTGGTCAGAAAGACCTTAATTCGAATATTGGAATTTTCTTTGTATGAAATCTTGCAGAGTACTGATACTTTTTGTATGTGTTTATATATACACACATACACTTCCTCCGGTCTTAAATATAAGACTCATTTTATAGTGTAATTTATATTACAAAATGGTTCTTATATTTAGGACCGGATAAGGATAAGGATATATACTAGGGCTTTCTAATCAATAAAATTTCTGTGAAGGGACTTTTTGCGGATTCTTCGTATGAGTTGTTGGTTATCCACATTCTCTTGCGTTAATTATTTCCTTTTCATTTCTGCATGTGGTGTCGGAAATTTGACTATACATTTTGCGGGTAACATTCAATGGACGTAGGGATTATTCCTTCTTTTCTGTGGGGTTCTTTTTAAGCCCCTGCCTTTTGAAACTCGTTTAACATCCATACTAGAATGCAATAGCAAAATATCAATAAAAAATATAAACATATAAAGAAATAAATTTGTAGTTTGAAAAAGCCTTTTCCCCCGCTTTTGAATACAGCCTTTTCAGAATTTTATTGTTGATTATATATATCATAGACATTAGACAAATACGAATTGGCTAACACTGGCATTTGGTTGGGCCAATTAACGTTGTGCGCGTGTGTGTGAAAGGATATTTTGGGGAAAATGTTTATTTCTATTTTAAGAAATTTGTTAGTTATTTTGAGCACCTTAAGTATGGTGGGAATCGAATCAGTTTGACTCGGAACCCTCCTGAGCATTATTTGACCCGTCTCTTCCCCAAGCACAAAATTTAACCTCTTTTTTTCCCCCCATATTCCTTCTCATTTGATCAATTATTTTAATTAATTAAAACTATAAAGTAAGCATTATTGGGGGTACTACCCCTAGTCTCTGTATTATTTAAGCTTAATTAATTACTTCTTGTAATTTCCTTGTTATGTACTCCCTCTGTTTTTATTTATTTGACACTTTTTTGAGGATTTTTTTTATTTACAGGATAAATTACAAAATTTGATCATTTAATATATATATATATATATATATTTACTCCGCATTTAACGTGTTAACCATGTACTTAATGCATTAATCGTGCGTAAAGTGTCTCCAACAAACATAAACGGATAGTCTCTATAGTTAATGAGTATTCCCTCTGATCCATTATTTAAGTAATTTTAACCAATTCATTAGTATCAAAAAATGGTAGTTAATTTATTAAATGTGTTTTTAATTAAAGAAGTGCGGTTAAAATATTTTTATTAGTTTGTCTTACTTTATTATCTTACATATTCTCTTTATTAAAATTTTATAACCCCGTTTTTCTAGTTTTTTAAATCAAAATTATTAAAAAAATTTCTTCTCTCCCCTCATACCAAACGCAGGGCTTTATTTGGAATGGTATCCATTGCCAATCATCCACTCAACTTTTGTTCTTTTTTTTTAAGGAAAAATTTGGGCGGAGTAACTTCTAAAATAAAATAAAAAATTAATTGATCCCCTCTTTAGATATGGGGAGGAAATACAAATATTGACACTGTAAATGGGTAACAAACAAAACCTTACATGTCCTTTTGTGATGTCATGGAGACAAGAGATCAAGGAGAGAGTGAAGGACACCACCAAAGGACACCACCACACAAAGACAAATAACATATATCTTGAACACACAAAACAAAGTAGTGCCCAGTTTAATGAACAAATACATGATCAAGAGAAAATTCATCCAAATGAAAAGTAAGAAAAAGAGGACAATCCTATGTTGTTGTCTTTAACAATACAATTAAGAAAAAAAAAAATCACGAAGTTCTTTGTTCCTTTTATATCAAGGGTGAACATTGATAATAGGCTTCTAATGGGCTCATTTGGATTGGGTCCTTGGATCATTGTCCAATGGCAATTCTTTGTCTTCCTCTACTTTTGGCCCTTACCACTACACAATGGAATTTGGACTGTTCATGATGTTGAAATTGGTTGGATTGGATGTCAAGATTTAATGTCCTGTCGTAAAATATAAATTTATTATCCAACAAATTACTAATTAAAAATAAGAAGGGTGATGGTGCTGATAATTATGATGAGTATGGAAGCTAGACTTATATATTCTCTACTAAGATGCTTTTCATAACATTCAAATTTTCAAATTAGCCTGGTCTTTTTCATGAGATATTGTTTAGGATTATCTAAACATTAAATACATTTTTACCAATTTTATTTATAATTAATTTTTTTTTACATTTTTTTTCATATTTTTTCTCACTATTTCTCTCTCGCACTTACTCTCTTATAAATAAGAACATTTTTTTAAAAAAATACATTTCTTATATATTTATTATTTTTAATTAATGTTCTCAAATTTCATAAATCACACTATTTAGTTATTTGGATCTTATAAAAATGATTAGAAGAGGAAATAGAAATGAAGAGAAAAATAATATGAAATTTTTGTTAATTTGTGAGTTGAATTTTTGCTCAATTTTCTTCTCAATTCCTTCTAAATTATTTCGAGTGCAAATGAATGACTAAAATAAGTTCCTATTGGTATATGAGCTATGACAAAATAAAGTAAAATTATTTTAGAAGAATTTAGGATAACTTTTTTTTAAAAAAATTATTTTCACATTTCATACAATAAAACTTCTTTCACATATTTTTTTTTGGTATAACTTAGACTATCTTCAAATTACTTTGAGTTTAAGACTAATTTTTGTCAAGCCGGAAACTTTAAGGTTAAAATCGTCCCAAAAAGTATCATTTTTAAAATTCAAACTTGTGAATGGGACTACTTACCATTTTAATTAGCACAAGTGCTTTCACATGTTTATGCAAACAGATACTCCATATGGTTCATTCATTCAACCGCTTCACTCTTCACAATATTGCCCCCAAATCATGAACCAAATCAGAATCTTGAACTCGTGTCTGTTATCTCTTCCATAGTACTACTATTCCTCTCTTCCTATGTGTCTTCTACTCTTCCCATAAGCTCCATAGTGGATACATATATACATACATATATATATATATATATATATGTTCGCACCCTTTCATTATCTAATAGCATTCTATATAATATTAGGCCGGTCACATATTTGAGTTTCAAGTGATTCCTAGTCAACAACATCAAACGAATTTTTAGTTTCTTTACAAAAACAAATTATCTACGGTTTTGTATTTATATCTATCTTTGTATAAATAAATAAATGTAATATTCTAGTTCTGAATTTAAAGTTTAATATTTGGCTTTTAATTTGATATGATTTATATAAGTTATTCTGTTGAGAGGCGGGATCTGTGCATACTGATACAAATTCACACTTTTTTTCTTTTTCTTTTTATTTTTTTGCAATACAAATCCTCTATAAAAGTGCCCTATGCTACCCCTACACACAACCCCCCCACAACACCCCCGCAGCACCTTCCTTAATTCTCTCTCCCTCTGTTTCTTTCTTCAGACTCTCTCCCTCTCTCCCTCCCTCAACGTAACACAGACACAAACAACTTAGAAAACTCAAATCATGTGTCAGCTTCAATCTCCTGATGATCTTCTTCCCTGCAAATGCAATGATCCAAATTCCGGTTACCTTAAACACCCAGAACCAGATATGTCAGAACCATTGATCCTCAAACCTGTGAATCAAATCGATCTCTCTGATGCCTTCAAAGAGGTTGTCTCTATTGGCAAGATTGCTCTGCCTATGATCCTCACCGGTCTTCTTCTCTATTGTCGTTCTATGATCTCCATGCTCTTCCTCGGCCGCCTCAGTGAGCTGGCTTTGGCCGGGGGCTCCCTCGCCGTCGGGTTCGCCAACATTACTGGTTACTCCATTCTCTCCGGTCTCGCCGCCGGAATGGAACCCATTTGTGGACAAGCTTTTGGGGCTAAGAGATTCACCATGCTCGGTCTCTGTTTACAGAGAACGATTCTTCTTCTACTTTTCACCTGTATCCCCATATCTCTGCTTTGGATATATATGAAGAAAATTCTTCTGTTTTGTGGTCAGGATGAAGCCATAGCCACACAAGCCCAATCCTATCTTGTTTATTCTATCCCTGACCTCTTGGCTCAATCGCTTTTACACCCATTACGGATTTACCTTCGAAGTCAATCCATTACTCTGCCTCTAACGCTCTGTGCCATTTTATCTGTTGTGCTTCATGTACCCATCAATTTCTTCCTCGTTTCTCACCTTAATCTGGGAATCAAAGGCGTTGCTCTTGGTGGGGTTTGGACTAACTTCAACCTCGTGGCTTCTTTAATCCTGTACATCATTTTCTCAGGGACGCATAAGAAGACCTGGGGAGGTTTTTCCTTCGAGTGTTTCACGCAATGGAGGAAACTTCTCAATCTGGCGGTTCCTAGCTGCATTTCAGTCTGCCTCGAGTGGTGGTGGTACGAGATCATGATTTTGCTCTGTGGGTTGCTTCTGAATCCTAGAGCCACCGTAGCTTCCATGGGCATTTTGATCCAAACCACGTCTCTTCTCTACATTTTCCCATCTTCCATAAGTTTCAGTGTTTCAACCAGAGTTGGAAACAAGGTTGGCGCTCAAGAGTCAACTAAAGCAAAGCTCTCTGCTATTGCGGGTCTCTCTTGCAGCTTCGTCTTGGGCCTCTCTGCTCTGGCTTTTTCTGTAATGGTGAGGAACGTGTGGGCCAGTATGTTCACTAGGGACAAAGAAATTATAACCCTAACCTCCATGGTTTTACCTATAATAGGCCTCTGTGAACTGGGAAATTGCCCGCAAACGACAGGATGTGGAGTTCTGAGAGGCACAGCGAGGCCAAAGGTTGGTGCTCACATAAACTTGGGATGTTTCTACCTTGTGGGAATGCCTGTGGCCATAGCTCTGGCTTTCTTCTCTGGGTTTGATTTTAAAGGTCTCTGGTTAGGCCTTCTGGCTGCCCAAGGCTCGTGCGCAGTGACGATGCTTGTGGTTCTGAGCCGAACGGATTGGGAACTAGAGGCCCAAAGGGCGAAGAGACTCACAGGAACAGGGGAGGCTGTGGTCGAGACAGAGAAGATGCCCAAAGATGAAGAAAGCCAGCAAGATTCTTCAGGCTGATGATTCAGATGCAGAAAATAAGCAATCGTGGAATTAACTAATTTCCTTTACTAAACCCAGGAAAACCCCCAAAAAAAAAAAGAGAAAAAAAATCTTTGGAGACTTTGTCTTTTGCTGTATAGGGTAGTAGATAGAGCAGAAAGGGCCGAAGACTTATTTTAATTTTAATTTTTTATTTTTGGTAGAGGGGTAGTTGGGGAATTTCCCTAGCGGCGCGCCTATTCCAAGGACAAATGCTAGTTCCTGTGAAATTCAAATACTACATTTTACAAAGCGTTGAATCTCATAGGAAGTAGCAACTTGTATTAATTTCCAAGGAGTAACCATTGTTGCTGTAACCTCAAGTTGATCCTCTGTTTTTCTGTTTCTTGTTTTCCCCTCCTTTTCGGCTTTTATATCAAGGGGGAAACCAGTTACATCATAATCCTAACTACCATTGATTCGTTCGGTCTTTGTCACCCTTTGTTCTGTTGTTTAAAAAGAAGTAATCAATAAGCTCCGATTAGATTTAGATCATGGACAAGCTTCCCCATGTTCGTGTGCTCTGTTTCAAGTAGCACTCAATAAATTTGGAAGAAAAAAACTAACGATATTAGAAAGGGTCTCAAGACTCAAGACCAAACTTAGATTGATCTCATCAAAATTAGTAAAATCAAGGAGTTGCGAAACTCTATCAAGTAAATTTTAACATAGTTGCATGTTTAAAACCCAAACTCTAAGACTAATGATTAAGATAATATAACTTCCTATCAATTTAGCTCTAGTTAGTCCCCCCCCCCTCTTAGAAGGTATTTAATACGCATGTTCTTTGTATCAAAACTGTGTTTTCTCGCAAAAGTGACCTTGTGTTGACAAGTTTGATCATGTTTTCAAATACTTTCTTTTTCATACATAGAAAAAGCCATCTTTTTACACTTTTTGAAGAAATATGCTCTCTGTGACAAAATCACATTTTGATAGAAGTAATTGTATTTTGAGACAAGCTCAAATGTACTTTTATATATGAATTTTTATGCTTACAAGAACTCATTTGTTGGGAGAACATGTTCTTCATGCCAAAACCTCAGTTTGGCAAAAGCAACCATATTTTGATGAGTTTGAAATGTTTTCAATCACTCCATTGTTCACGCATAGAAGAAGCCACTTTTGGGGTTATTGTGTAACTTTAAATTATGTCATTGGAATTAAGCTAATTATGTCTCAGAAATGGCATTAGTATTGATGACATAATACATTGAGATGTTTAGTCCATTCTCACGCGTTGTTGGCACATTAATTAAATGAAAATGGTTTGCTTCTTGGTGTATTTGATTTGGCTATAATTGAAAGAAATGGCTCTTGGCATATTTACACAAGTGGCTATCAATTTTCATTCTCATTTCGAAGTGGATAATGCAAAGGCACCAACAATGGACGAATGGTGTGATATTAATTACAATTTTATTAACATTATCGTTACTCAATATAATAATTCATGACCATAAAAATATCTTTCCAAGAAAAAAATCTCTCTGTCATTGTATTCCCACAAAAATCTGCATTAGAATGTACTCATCCTTTTTTTTTTTTATAAGAACCAATCTCTCTCATAATAATGTTCCTAATTATAATAAATAAATTCTTTTTGTTTAAAATTTTAAACTAGTTTTTTTTTAAACTTTTACCTTCATTGAATATATGCCACTTATTATTTCTCTGTAATAAATTTTCACTTATTATCTCTTATTTACTCTCTTTGAAAAAAATATGTATATATCTTAAACATTTATTGTGTTAACCAAACTTAACTAACATTCTAAACCACATGATTTTGGTAATTGTTTCTTATGAGAAGGGACCAAGGAAGTAATGTTTTCAACAATTTGATGGAGATCAAAATACATGTAGAATTACAATATAAATGAACCCACATGTACACAAGCTCGGTTGTTTTGAGGAACTCCATTCAATGTGTAGGGTTGTCTGAAGGAGAAGCATATTGAGTTATAAAATTTAAGGAAAATTAGCATGTAAGTCCCTATAATTTCACTTCATTTTAAATGAAGTCATTGGATTTTTTTTCTTTTTATTTGATCTTTATAATATAGTTATTAGTTATAATATTTATAATTTGTTATTTTGCAAGATAAACTAAATTAGTAGTTGATGACATAATTCTCACTTAACATATACTTAGATTAATTTTGTCATATGAATCTACATAAAATTAAAATAAACTAAATCCAAATTATATATAGATGTAAGTAGATAGTTATGAACATAATATTTTTTATTTTTATGTTCATAATAAATAAATTTTATTCCATTTTTTAATTTTTAATAAATCTGATTTCATTTTTTTTAATTTTGTAACGACTTACATATTGCTTAATCAACATCTACATTGCCTGAGTATAAGAAAATGTTTATAGTTAATAAAACTATAAGGAACCAATAAGAATTATGGGAAATTAATTAAAAATCAAGTAAAATCATCAGGACTAATGAATTAGTTTTATAAATTTAAACATAATAAAAAGCGGGATCTCTTTTGTTAATTTTGATTTTCAAAATTAAAAAAAAATAAAGGGGACTTTGTGTGATGCTCGGAGCTTCCATGGATAATATTATGGGTTTTGACTACGAATGTGAATAGACTTGACGAGATGATGTTCAACACTGTGCGCAAACTTTTGGTGGGGCAATAATACTTCGGGTTCTCTTATTATTGGAGCAAGGACGAATATAATTTTTTTATCCGTAAAAATTAAATTATATAATATTTACTATAACATTAACAATAAAATTTTATAAGAGAATCTAAGTGAGTTGAGATATATGTCCATTATGCATTGAAATAGGCCTATTCCCTTGCAAAAAAAGTTCTCATTTGGCACTCATCACAATAACGAGCACCGTGTACTCATGAATGGTTCGATCTGATTTAATATGCAATATTTTTAATAATAACCTTATTTTTGAAGAAATATTAGTTATAAAATTATCTTTATTTTAAATTATGTATCAATTAAAACAAAAAATTAATTAAAGTATATAAAAGATTTGAATTCAATCTAGACCATCCAAAATTAATTTAGATGATCCAAATTACAATGAGCACTCTATGCACATCATTATGATGAGCATGGAATATGCTCCCTAAAAAATTACTTGAAAAATATCTATAAATTATCTACCAATAAAATTATTATATTACTAGTCGGATTCAAATCTCCACTAAAAGTGAGTCATATTATCATTAATTAATTGAATAAACTTTTGTTGACATTACCAATAATAATAGAATATTTATATTATTTTTAGTTAAAAAAATTTTGGGAGAATGACAAAAAAAAAGGAAGCTGAAAATTATTAAATCTCAAATCAGGTTTAGTAACAATAGTTTATTTGGTATCGACAATATTGAATTTAAAAATAACAATAAATTTTTGTTGACATTTCTTATTTCACAATTACAAATTTCTAACTTTTTTGGTCATTTTTCCAATTTTTTTTGCTTAGTTAATATTTTTTGAATTGATTAAATTTTAAATTTTATAGAAGAGATGGATGGGAACATTAGTGGAGATGACAAAGAAAGGAATTATTTATGCAGATTCAGATTTTCACCATGAAAAGTGAGCAACTGGCCCTTCAAATCGCGAAATGCACAATTGACACATTGTGATGATAAAGGTTAGGTCTGAGTCTGAGACTTAGGGGACCCCTTGGCTTATTTTCTTATAGCTTTGCTTGTTGCTTTGACTTTTCTTTTCAGAGACAGTTATGTTAGCAACTACATTGGTTGCGGATTTATGTAATTTCTTCCATCATGTGATGATCCCCTCCTCCTCTCTTTCAAAAAGGAGAATAAAGTTGGCATGTATTGGTCATAAAGAGCTATGATCATCAGTCAACAAATATTGATTCAATTGATAATGATGTAGTTTATAATTCACGTTAGTTTCAATTCGGTTACAAATTGAGGACTTTGTACTATGTAAATATTTTTTGAAAAACAGCCGGTGACCCTAATAAGTCCCGAGACCAAACACAGTTAAACTTTTAAATATGAAGAAAGAGCCATTACCATGTATGGAGAAATGTTTTGCCCATGTATGGCATGAAAGCCTAAAATTCATTGTACTATTAATTACTTATTATATAATGGTTTAAATTAATAGAGATTGTTTTCATTTTGAATATTGATGATTAACATATATGTTGCGTCACCATGAAACTTACATCACATGCTCATCACCATGAGCATTGGAAGTTTATTATCAATGGGGCCCATTTAAATTTAATTTTCGACAATGTAAATTTAATTTAATTTTTATATTTTAAATATTTTTTATTTTAATGAAGGTGGAATCTAAAATAATGTTTTTTTAAAAAAATTCATCAACTAAAAATTTATACCTTCTTACACCAAAAAAAAAAATTTATACCTTAAAAATGTAAAATTGTTGGTTATAATTGTCCTCATTATAGCGTGAGTGCTTAATGAAGACTGCTAAATAGCACTTTAATTTAAGAAAAAATTCATTCCTAGCCCAGACAAATTTCATAGCCTAATTGGAAGTAACTTTCTCAAAGACGCTTTCTATGCTTACACAAATTCAAATTCAAGATCTCGTATTTAAGCGGCTAAAACCTTTTCACTTAGAATCAACACCTGTTTCGTGTATCACCAAGAAGTGCAAATCTTTGGATAATTTGCCAAGGGAGAAGTCAACTATGTTGATCCATAGAGAATTTTGAAAAGCTATGAAGCTTTCTTTGTTTATATATATACAATACAAGACATTGTTAACGTACATGTTAAACACTACTATAAATTTTGATTTTGGTAGTTAGTTACGAAAATATTATTGTAGGGACTATGTTATTAGACGATAAGTTTTATCCCTGTACCAAGAATATCGTAGATAAGTACTGCTATTATAAATTAATTTGTTTTGATAAAATCAGTTAATATTTTACATAATCTTAGTTTGCCGCCAAACAAACGAGTTTTAGTTAATCACTACCCCATGCAATTATTCCCAAGAAATATAACAATTAATGATTAATCAATATTGTGAAAATGACATTTTTGTTATAAAGGTTCCAGTTTACCAAAAAAAAAAATTTTCCAGCCCAATTTATAAATAAAATTTATACATTATTCTTTTGATCTTAATTAATTTTTTGGGGGGTAAATTATAATAAGTCAAAGACCGGCCCTGGACGCCCGAAGACATGTGACTCCTACATTAATTGTTAATTAATTAAGGTTTTTGGACAAGCTAAGTCAATTTGAATAATTCAACATTCTTTTTTTTTTTTGCCAAAAAATTATTCAATAATCAAACCACGCCGAAATGAATCTGACGATTTGTATAAGAAATTGAAATGACTGCAACGCAATTTTATGGTTTTATTTATATATCTACCTATAGTATCTTAAAACATCAAA